GCTGCTTTCTTAGACAAATAACTTTATTAAGAATATTTAAAAGGTCCAGTGTGTAACCATTAGGGGGATCTACTGGCAGAAATGAAATATAATATTCAACGGTATATTTTTATTAGTGTATAATCTCCTGAACATATGGATTGCTATTGTTAGCTTAGGATGAGCTGTTTTCATCTACAAACACAGCGGGTCGCCTTCTGTGGAAACCAATAGCTGCATCATCTGCCCATTGTTTCCTTATAGAACACTGCTGTAGTTCATGATCTCTGTCAGATGATGACAGTGTTCATAACAACTATTATACATTTACATGTGACAATAATGTACGGATGTCATACATGTTTTTTATTTCAATCATGACCAATAAAGCTGCTCTTTCACTATAAATCTCAGTTTATAGCACTATATATAAAATATATAAAAAATATTTGTTTTTCATTGTGTTCTATACTGTCAGGGAATATATTGAGCCATACTCCCTTTAAGAAATATGACATTTTAACAATTCCTTATGTGTCCATAACAACATGGAACTTAAGAAGCAAAAGACAGAAGTTTGTCATATGTCCACAGTCTTCTTGTCAAGTCGGCATCAATATAATCCACAAAGATAAACTCTTTGACGATTTTGTCGCCTCAACTTACAACAGCCTCCATTGTAAGTGGGAGAAGACTGTGGGAATGAGAAGAGGACTTTTAATAATAATTATTTCTCACCAAAATAAATGCTGGATGGTGAATTAAATACAAGCCGAATTAAACTCAGACTCATAACACTGTTAATTCACCCTGTATTATGTGTATGTGTTCCTGAGTTTTTTTGGCCGTTACCATAGAAACTACCTGTATGAAGGTTAAATATCATTAAGGAATGCGGTTAGAATAGCACCTTATGAGGCACTACACAAACAGTGAAGGGTAGAAAGTTTTAAACACAACTTATCAATACATCTGTAGAGCGCTCCCACCATGGTTTGTATATTCTGTGTGCTATGCCTCTTTTATGCATCACGGGTGCTGAAAACCTTGATAAGCACCTGTGTATCCTCGCTCAGAGCTTCTCCAGCAAAGCCTCCTCTCTCCTCTCTCCTCCAGATGCAATGTAGGAATTCAGATGTCCTTCAAGATGGCACACTGAGATTGATTTACAGGTCACAAGCAGGAGGACAAATGTTTCGTTGCCACCATGTGAACGTGGTTTCCTGTAGTTTCTTTGTGCTTGGAGGGTAAAGTGATGTAGTTGTGAACTGCAACTACTAGATGCCACTAAATCCCACACACTGAACCCAAACTTTAAGTCAGATATTCTTTAACATGTACAATGTCAACCAATAGTTCTAGTTGAGTGAGAGCTGCCTCTTCTCTCTTACTCTGTGCTGTTTGTTGTAAATCACAGCACACTCTGCTGGATAACCTTTGGAACAATATTTTTCTGCATTATATACCAGAAAAAATAAAGTTTTCGTATTGGCACATATTGGGTAACATATATGCCGATACTGATAGGCCACAATCGGTCAGCCTCTAGAATCAACATGTGACCGTTTGGGTGTCCTACCTCAGGAAACTGAGAATGGCAGAAACAGTCAACTGCTCACCAGTGTGGATGATCTTGTGTCTTTCCAGGTTACCAATACTATTGAAGATTCTGCCACAGATTTCACATGGATGGATGTACCTTTAGGACAGATGTTTGAAATAATTAGTAAATTTGTACTGCAGCTTGTTCATTTTATATTTGTAACTTCGAAATGAACTTGTGTTTCAAATCAGACCATTTACTTTTAGATAAAGTATTGCAACTTGAGCTCTTGTACGTCCTGACCTGAACCTTAACGTGCAGATGATCAGCAACACATTCCTGACATTTAGTTGCAGTTGCATTAAAATTCCATCTCTAACACATCTGGTTCCTCTACTGTGATCAGTATATATTTAAAGGAATAAAAAGGGTTAATGGCTTCCTCCTTCCTTGACATCCTCATCAGCACACTATAATCAGTATACAGCCAGCTGACAATGTTGTCTCCGTCCTCATTCATTATCTCAGCCTTGATTGGACAAGGCTAAGCGCAACCTCGGCCAATAAAGAGAGGTGCATCCTGCGTTCTTACTTCTGCACCGCGGGGTCAGGCAGCTGCTCTCTGTGGATGACCAGGTGAGCGTTGTACGTGGCCTTCAGCGCGAAGCGTCGGTTACAGATCCCGCAGCCGTAGCCTCTCTCCTTGTGCTGCTCCATGATGTGCTTCAGGTACTCTCTGCCCTTTGCAAATGACAGCTGAAGACACGGAAGTAGGGAGCTCGTGAATTTGAGCAAGACTGCAAGGGAAAAACAATCTGCCACCATAGCTTTGATACGTGAACAGCCTTGAGCCTGTTCATGACCTGTTCAATGAACACTCTGCTCAAAATAACTGGGGAAAGACTAAACAGATGTGAATCAACCAGGCCAGCTCTCTGACCTGTTCATAAGCGGGTTCAGATAAAGAAGTGTGTGCTGAAGTCTGCAGGCTATCTCCAAGACTGTCAGGACAAAGCTTACTTGACATTTCTTGCAGTTGTACTTGTGGTGCTCGGGATCGTCTTCCTCTTCATCCTCGTCCGATTCGTCGCTGTCGTCGGCTGAGATGCCAATCTTTTTGATGAAGCTCTCTCTCTCCTGCTCATCCATTAAGGCTATGTCCTGGAACAAAAAGAAATAGTTCAACTCGATGACAGCTAAGACCCAGAGGGTGTGCCAAAACCTAATTTAATGAAACATGTATGATCCAAAGGTGCTATTTAATAACCGCAGTGACATCTACCACTTTTTCCTTTTAGTCTTCTCCATGGTGACGCAGCTAGCATGGTTAAAAGCACAGCCCCTACATTAAAAGAACACTTCACTACTCTTCCTCCATACACTGGTGATTGCAGACTCTTACATTTGCAGACTTGCATTTTCACAACGAACCAGAGGAGGGTCTTTGATTCACACAGGCCCAGGGTTGTAACATGGTTGTTTGTGCATTAGAGCAGCAGTTCTCCATTTGGAGTATGGGGAACTCCCAGGGATCCTTGAGGGGGTTAAAATGGGTCCTCAGAAAAAAGCGGAATATTTTAATTTCACTATTATCAGTTCAGTCAGCCAACTCACATTTGAAATGTTTATTAAGCAGTATAGCATATT